AGAGCGCCCAAATAAAATAAACTTTGAGTGAATCTCAAGAAAACTCTCCGATATATTAGAATCCAAAAAGCCTGAATATTGACGAATTGACCGCCTAGATCTCGTAAAATTGATATGGAAAAAAGTCCATCACTTCGTTCAGAGAGTGGCACAGCAGATAACTAATAAAGATTTGGAATCGACTCTTAGAGACGCATCTCTCGGTATACACATCACGGCCAAAGGCCACGGTCACAAAAGTATCCTTCCCTGATTAGTTGAAATGTTCGTTGACCAAAAACACCTTTTTTGAGGTAGGGAAGATCGATATGGTATTTATATAAATTTATATAAAAAACATTGTATACACAAATACTGGCATTCATTCATTTCCGATCTACGAAGCATCAAATGACAAAGCGCAGCGTTTTTGCGGAGCAATGGAAGTAAAGGAATTGCAGGAATCAGAGGAATAGCAGGAATCACTAGGAGAGTTATGGCCGCTTCCTATGGATGAAGAAGTAAAATTGTATGAGGTGACAGAAGGAGTGATGTTGTATGACAATCAGAGTATGACAAAAGTTAGAAGAGGAAGAAGCAGAAGAGAGAAAAAAAATCCGGAACCGGAACGTGCCCTCCGTAACGGGCAACCGCATCCTAGACGACTGATTGACAGAATGAAGTTTCGACAGTTACGCGAAGCTTGGATACCGCGTTTGAACACGTTAGTTCATGGACCTTGTGGCCAACGTCAGTACGTTATGTTAAACATGTTCAACATGTTCAGAGCTTTCATTCGATAGCGGGCTACCACGCTTCAATTATTCACAAGCTCTAAGCCCCTAAATTTACGGTTTTGTATTCAAAATGTAATAAAGCGCTGCTAGCTCTGAAAAAGTCTTTCGAATTTTCTTACATAGCATCAATACCGTGTGTGCCCCAGAAAAATTCACATGTGAACCAGCGCGCGTATGCAGTGCGACGTTGCCTTTCCTCTTGACACGTTCCTCTTAAAGGCAGCGGCCCGGCAGAATTTCGTTTCCCAGTTTT